CCCCCCCCCCCCCCCCCAAAACTCTGTAATTATTTTCATAGCTGCAATAAACTCATCTTTATGCTTGCATTTCTTATCAAAAGCTGCCCTGGCAGTTATGCTATTCGTCATTGAGAAGATCATTTTACTGGTATAATAGGAACTTGTGGTATCAAAGAAATTGCTTCGATAAGATTCTCTACTTCCTCTTCCCTGATTGACTCAAATTATTGAACATACTTTGCATTTAGGAGCTCCATGACACATACTTTTCTAAGTTGTCTCCAGTTAGGTCCATAAGGAGGGAACGCAAGGCTGTGGCCATTGTTGCCTAGAATCTCTGAAGCAAGAATTTTTGGCCTAGTATAAAAGATCTAACTCTTGGGTTTTCATTACCTCTTTTGCTAACTCCTGGTGATGATACAACAACAGCAGATACTTCACCAAGTTGCAGGTGCATGATTGGACCATTTTTTTTTTCCAAGTTTCTTAAATTATGGTGAGGCAATGAACTAGATAACTGGTGCAAGTTCCCAATAAGTGGAAGCTTTCTAGGGCCTGGAGGCAATTTGGCCTAACTTTGGATCTTTTCCATAGCTTCACAGCTATGGTAACAAAGATAGGAAAGGCAATAAGCATAGGAAAAGTGAGGTGTTGAAGCTCCAATACCATAGGAGACTCAAGATCAGTATTGGATGTGTTTACAGTCAAGTATTAGCTTGTCTTTGTGTTGTAATCTTATTTAAGCAACGAATGAGATGAACCATTGGTTTTTTATTTTCTTTCTTCTTTCTTGACTGAAGACTTGGAACTTTTTGACTGGACCATTTCATATCTTAATTTATCGCAAAAAAAAAAAAATAAAAAAAAAAAATCAAGAGACGTCAGCCCTTTATTTTAAAGTAATTGTCATTTTCTGCTGTTTCATCGCCATGGCCCATGAGATACTCCATTAATTTCCAACTTCTACTAATGGTTGCGCCTGTATAGCATAAAAATAGAAAGGTTATTTTGTTGATTAAAACACATTACAGTAAATGCCTTTGTGAAGGATTTAGGTTGTGGCTGGCTACTACTAGCTTATTAACAAAGTGTGAATTTAGAGGTACCACTTGTGCAACCGCCATTTACATCGTTCTACCTACTTTTAACTAACTTCTTCCAGCAGCTAGAAACCAACTCATAGTGATCATCGTTAAATCTATAACTGAATGAAATATACAATATTCAGTTGCTCCTAGTAGTGTCATACTAAAAATTGAGCCACGGTTTTCAATAATTTAGCTTCTAATGTGACGTTTGAATGGAAAACTGAGATCCATGAACTGGGTTGCCGTGGAATCAGTGACCACAAGGTTTAACGATGGTGTACACAGCATTCGATATATACACACCTCAACGACCAAATAGATACCTCATTATCTACAAATAGAGTATGCATGCACGAGAACTCATTTTTCATTATATTTGTTAGATGTTCCATAACTAAGCTAAATAACGTTATCGGATCAAGACAAAATTTCCATCTGATGTAAACCCATGATATAAATAAAAAAAAAACTCCTTTTATCTCTTACAACATTTTTTATGCTTGTTATCTTGGGTCTAACTCAATCCCAAAAGCTAGATGATGAGATGCTGGTAACCCAAGATCATATAAAAAGATCATCTCATCCCTAAAGAGTTGATGTAGGACTCAATATTCCGAACACCCAGGATTGGACATTGTAGACGTCAACAATATTATATAGAGGTCCAACATTGGGTAAACAATAAGTTGAGGTGACCTTGATTCTGATATCATGATTAAAAAAAAATGAACCTTGAGCTTAAATCAATCCCAAAAATTTGCTCAAGATCATATAAAGATCATCCCATCCCTCAATAGCAGATGTTCAGTNATATATATATATATAAAGATCATCCCATCCCTCAATAACGGATGTTCAGTCCCCATCTAATATCTCATGCTCTTCTTTTAAAAATAAAGTGTGTATATATATATATGGAGATAATTAAGCTCGTTAATGGACTTCATTACTAGATTCGAGTAAAAAAAACAAATCGATACCTCAGAATGTGGCTCTATAATGAGTATATAGGATGCACAAAGCCTTGTCAGAGATAGGCAGCTATTAAATGCACTCAAACCATTTCCTCGAATAAGGACTTTAAAGTCTCATCCACAGTGGCATTAATATCCCATCCAAGGGTCAACGATGGTCATTTGTATCAAATTAAATATGGGTACATAACCTCAAATTTAGAGAAATGGGATTTAATTTCACCATTAATATTGGATGACATGTGCTCCCTTTTGCTTTTACTTTGTCAACAAGCCGTTTAAACAATAAATTACAAATATAAAGTGAATTACAAAGTGTATGAAATACGTATAGGCAGGCTAATAAAATTACGGAGATCTGGGTCAACTTTAATGCTACTCCTAACCCGAGGTTTGAAACCGTTAAAAATTGCAAGAAAAGCACCATTTATCACTTGTTGATGCCCTTTAATTCCGTAAAATTGTGTGAATATTAATTGCAAGCCAGATCACTTGAGAAACATATGCACGTTTTTTCTCGGCTGTCTGCCCTCGAGGTAAGACCGCATATATCTTTCACATAATTTGTTATTGTTGTTGCTTTAATCGATTTTAATTAAATTAAGCAAAGCCAAAAACAACAACAAAATTTGGAAATTTAAGCACTAGAGGGCCATGAAATTTAAGCAAACAATGTTCATTAATTGAGATGGAGTCAGAAACTTCTGAACAATTTTATTTCTTATTCCATCTAACCAATAATATAAATCCTAGTACCAATAAAGAGAAGGGAACTAGGCGTAGCTAATTCGACTTAAGAAAGAAAAAGAATATCTGAAGTCAAACACACATGACCGACCCACTACCATCTCCTTCGCGCCTTTGCTTAAGCTTAATCCCTCTATTTTTTGGTAATAACAATAGTTTGTTAGGTCAACTGTTACTCATAATTTGATCTCAAATGGCACGGCCACAGTTCACCGTTATTCTCGCGATCATCTCTCTGTTGATCCATTACGGTGTCGTTTCCGGCTTCCGATTATCTGATGTTACTAACGGCAGCTCCGTTTTCCTCCCTTCGCCGGCCGACGGCAGCCGTCACACAACCATGCTGCTGCCGCTCTTTCCTCCGAAAGACACTTCACGCCGTGCGGAAATCTCCCGTCGCCACCTCCAGAAAAGTCCTGCCAGCGCTCGCATGTCTCTCCATGATGATCTCCTCCTCAACGGGTTCAAATTCGTAGCTTTTGCTCAGAAAATTTAAATTCACTGTTACTAACTCTTTTGGCTGCTGATTCACATGCGTATTTTGCGTTTTCACTGTGGAATATATTTCTATATACCTCTAGTTCAGACTAATTTCTTTATTAGTAATTTTTATTTTGTTGAATGGATTCCAAGTAACTTGTGATGCAGATACTATACAACTCATATTTGGATTGGAACACCACCGCAGAAGTTCGCTCTTATTGTTGATACAGGGAGTACAGTTACCTATGTCCCTTGCTCTGAGTGTAAAAAGTGTGGCAACCATCAGGTTTTTTCCCTCTTTTCTTTTTCTGGATAAACATTAAAGGTTACATATTTATCTTAATTTTGCAGTTAGTGTGTTTTGATAGCTTGATATGGAAATTAAAATTTGAAACTGTTTATGTATAGGTGCTATTTCATAAACATTACTTAATATACTTTTTGTTTGTGAGGAAATCGCTTAGTAGGATGCAGTTATTTGTAAGTATTAAGGGAAAGAGGGTAAACAAGAACAAACCAATCTAACTAGGATACAAATAGTTCTAAGCCTCTCTTTGTTGATAAGCTGTACAAATCCATTGTATAGTTTCATGATGTTTTAAATGTGATTCTTGCTCAATTTGCCTTGTAATCATAAAAGATCTCCTAATGGAGAAAATATCAGCACTTAAGAAACTTCATGACTAGTAATTTTACTTTGAGTCAGCCTATTAATTTTGTGAGAAATGCTTAATATAGCACTTAGAATTGCTTGGCATTTGATTTTTGTCTTTTGATCGGTGGTACTCTGTATGTTGTCTTATTTAGGATCCTAAGTTTCAGCCGGAAATGTCAAGCACTTATCAATCTGTGAAATGCAATAAGGCTTGTCCCTGCGACCATAAGAGGCAGCAATGTATTTATGAGAGACGGTACGCTGAGATGAGTGCAAGTTATGGGTTGCTTGGAGAGGACATCATATCTTTTGGAAATCTAAGTGAGCTTGCACCACAACGAGCTGTTTTTGGATGTGAAATTGCGGAAACTGGTGATCTTTACAGCCAACGTGCTGATGGTATAATGGGTTTGGGCCGAGGTGATCTTAGTATAGTTGATCAACTTGTTGAAAAACATGTAATTAGTGATTCTTTCTCCTTGTGCTATGGAGGGATGGATTTTGGTGGCGGGGCAATGGTTCTTGGTGGAGTAAAACCCCCTGCTGACATGGCCTTTACCAAATCAGATTTTGGTCACAGGTATGTATTGGAAACAATTGTTTAGAGACACAGTGATGTTAGGTCTCCTCCTAGCAAATACACTTGATAAATCTTACGCATTTACTTTAGTCTCGGATGGCAACAGCCCGTACTACAATATTGACCTGAAGGAGATACATGTCGCTGGGAAGCCGCTAAACCTAAATCCACGGGTTTTTGGTGGAAAACATGGGACTATACTTGATAGTGGTACCACCTATGCGTACCTTCCAGAAGCAGCATTTGCAGCTTTCAAGAATGCTGTAAGATATAGTTTATCTACATATCTGCCAATGTTTCTGTCTGTTTGTTTGATTCGTTCTGTCTGAGAAAGTGACTAGTGGCGAATAGCACGCTATTGATGAGCAGAATGTCCTAGAAGAAATTAGATGTGAAAAGATATTCATTTGAATAATGTGTTTTCTATATGTAACTCAATCTGTTAAATTTTTCTTGCCATTCAAAGTTCTATTTACACCACTGATTGGTGAAACAAACCATCATGTCCTATTGTGACGTGGATCAAATATATAGTTGGAGATTCCTGTACATGAGTGGGACTGAAACTAAAACATCTTGGTCAATAATAGTTTGAGAGCTAACACTTTGATATCTAGAACATGTTTTTGAAGAAAAGTAAGAACCAGGTATCTTGTGATCCTATAACTCTGCCACCTAACTTATTCCTGTGATGAGTTGGAGGCTATGTACTTTATCAAAAGAAAGGAAGGCTATATTATGGCCTCTATCCCTTCTTTTGTTGTTAGTTTCTCTGCTATTAAAGGACCTAATTAGATTGCTTAACCACTTATAATAGTTGATTTTTCCTGTTTTAAACTTCTGAATTTGGTAATACACCACACAACATTTTCTTCCAATGATGTTAGCAGGTAGTAATTATCTACATATACAGAGTTCCTTGCAAGTTTCTGCATATCTTTGATGTTGTCTTTCATTGCTTTTGCTATGTTACATTTAGCGAAGGAAAAGTGGAGTCACTGGTTGTGAATTTATACAGTATGTAACTTGTGGCGATTATCTTTAGATAAACTTAAGTATTTTCCTTTTTGGGATTAACCTCTTCAACTTTTCTTTTCAGGTAGTGAAAGAGCTTCATTCTTTAAAACAGATTGAAGGGCCAGATCCTAGTTTTAAAGATATCTGCTTTTCTGGTGCTGGAAGGTATTTATAAGGAGAGTTCCAAAATTAATTAGACGTCTATGATTTTCTTGTCTAAATTTGTTTTTTTTTCCTATTGTTGGTGTTACCCTTATTATTTAATGTCTTATATATTCCAGCAACATATCAGAACTCTCAAAGAACTTTCCGCGTGTCGATATGGTATTCAGCGATGGAAAGAAACTAACTCTCTCTCCTGAAAATTACTTGTTTCAGGTAGGCATTTTATTCTGTTTTAGTTCTTTCTTAACTATCTGCCGACACTATTTTGGCGTCACATCTACTGGCTTCTTTTTCTTTATAAGATTTAGTATTGATTAATTTCCCCCTTCTTCATTGTAACTTGTATGCTATAAAGCACTTCAAAGTACGTGGTGCTTATTGCCTAGGAATTTTCCCGAATGGAAAGAATCCAGCTAGTCTTCTTGGAGGTATTTCTAACTACTTGACAAAGTTCATCGTCCTAGGTCTTCGGTGCTGTAACATGCGTGCTTTTAATTGCAACAGGAATCGTTGTTCGCAACACTCTTGTTACTTACGATCGTGAAAATAAAAGAATTGGTTTTTGGAAAACTAATTGTTCTGAGTTATGGGACAGACTCAATTTATCCCCTCCATCTCCACCTTCACCATCGGTCTCAAGCTTGGATAACACAAACTCCAGTGCGCACCTGTCTCCTTCATCAGCTCCTAGTGGACCCCCTGGGTACAACACACCTGGTATGAAGGGACAGCTTTTCTTCACATAGTATTTTTACTGTAAGGTTACTCTGCCCATTAGAATGCTGTCATAACCTGAACTGGTTTCATTTTTCGCATCTCTACTAGCTCTGTTTTCTAATAGATTAATACAATTCCCTTTTCAATTTTCCCTTCAATTTTGAACTATAATGGTTTGTGGTTTCTTTTATGAAAATGAGAATCAAAATTAGAATTGCATCATGCTGATTTTGATGTGTTGCCTTCGATTAGATCATTTTTGGGCAATCAACATTCTGTCTCTTATGTCCAGAATGCTGGTATTTGTGTGAATGCATAATTTATGTATTATATGTGCATAATTGTGTATCATCAATGTATAATCTGTGTATATGGCTAGAAAAAGTAAACATGAATATAGCCGGCTATTTGTGTAAAGATCCCTGTTTATAATCCTATTCAAGTTGACATCTGACCTTTCTCTGAAATTAGTCTTGTAATCATCTTGTTTCCCTGGTATTTTAAAATTTCTAAGAAGCAACTGCCTGCATAAAATTGTACTGATGTCACAGCATTCTCAGCCTTCTTGTAGTTTGAGAAAGATTTACTTAAACTGGAAATTTATTATAATAACTTCAAGGAATACTGAGAAAATCTTTGGTCCCCTGTTATCCCCCTGTTTCCACTTTTAGTCCAACTCTCCGACTTTGACATCTGCCTTTTAATTTGTCGAGTTTGCAGATTTAGTCAGATCTTAATTAGAACTAGAATTTTTAGATTTTGTTAATCCGCAACTCGTGTGATTGGTGCGTTCCATTTCCAAAGCAGCGTGTTCATCTTTTTGGGATATTTTAGTAGGCAACGGTACTTTTACAACATTAATGCTCCTTTTGAAATTTGTATTATTAAAAAAGGAGACTTGAAATATGAATATGTCGTGGGTTAGTTAGTTTTGTTTATTATTGGACTACATCTGTAAAGTTCGTTAAATTGTAGGCTTAATGTGTAAAGCTGAATAGTTGAGGGATCTAAAGTACAAATATGGTATAATCAAGGGACCAAAAAGTTATTTCTAAGGACTACGACAACTGATACCAAGTGAACATGCATTGACCATATACCGACTATCTGAAAATCCATCCACTAAGTTATAGTAATCAATTGTCAAATTTCTAGTGAATTTTGTGACTGGACAACGACAAGCATGAGAAATTTGTGGCAAGACCTTAAAGTAATGACAGAATCGCAAAATTTTTCCTGCCTAATATTTCCTGTTTGCATTGTTGAAACATAGCCCTGTTTTGTATTATTTCAATTTGATGTACCTCTTCAATGGTTTGCATAATCTCAAATGCTTTGACTTTTATCTGCTGTAAAACTTTTCAAGATTTCAATTTAGTTTTGCAAGTATTAGTCCCCTTTTTCTACTTCACTACATCTATTCTCACAAACTTGAGCTAGGCTTCGGTGCAGATATGATGGCTATTGAAATTAGATAATTCCATTACAAAGACTTATGGTTGTAATCACATTCATCTTTTATGTCGACTTGCAGTGGAAATTAAAGTTGGGCTCATTACATTTTACTTGTCACTAAGTGTCAACTGCTCAGAGTTGAAGCCTCGCATTCCAGAACTTGCCCATTTCATTGCCCAAGAGTTGGATGTTAATGTCTCACAGGTTGGTTTTATTGTGATAATTTTGGCAAAAACTTTTGTTTTTGTGAAGTAAACTTTTATTTAATCAAACAGCATTATGGAGTTGCCGATATTTTGACATAAGCTGAATGTCTCAGATATTTTTCTTTCTAAAGGGGTCTAGAATTGGGCTCTCTTCACAGCGCTGCTATAGGAGTAGTCCAAATTAGACTGAGAAGTAAGAGTTTCTAATAGAAGTTTGTGGGAGTGAGGTTTGGG